AGCCCTAAACCCTGCTCTATACGTCTTTTAATTTCCTGGCTCCTGGTGCCAAGAGTGTTGATTGTGGAGCCAAGCAGACAAACTGTGAACAATCTCAGTCTCTTCATCATCCGTCCTGATGCTGCCAACTGGTCCAGTGGTGAGAATCTTTGTATATGAGAGAAAAATGAGGTAGCTTACTTTGTAAAGATTTATAATGGTAGATATCTAAAGGGGCAGTTTGTTACAATGTCAAACATCAAAGAGAAAACAGGCCACATTTCTTGAATGAGTTGCATTTGAGGTTAGGAAAAGAAAGTTTAGACATTTCCAGCAGTCCCATATTGTACCTGCTTATGCACGGCTATGGGTTGAAAATGAGTCCCTATTGCAGGGGATCCTCAATAAGACCTCTGTGTCAATGGAATACAATGCAGCACTAAAAACCAAGAAACTCATAAAATATTACACAAAATGGGTGACCTTGGAGGACATTATGCTGAGTGAAATATTTCAGTCACAAAATGGCAATTACTCCATAATGCCATTGTTATAACACAGTTAAAGAGAATATATTGTTGTTGTTGTTATGTGCTGTTGAGTCGCTTGCGACTCACAGCAACAAAAGTCCTAAATCCTGCTCTATCCTGTGCCAATCGCACTGCCCCTTACACACCCACCCCAATTACCCCAGTCCCTGAATCAATCCACCTCATAGAGGGTCTTCCTCTCCTTCACTGTCCCTCCACCCTCCCAAGCACGATGTCCCTCTTGAAGGACCTGTCCCTCCTTACAACATGTCCAAAGTATGTAGGACAAAGCCTCAGGATCCTTGCCTCCAAGGAGCAGCCTGGTTTAACCCTCTCCAGGTTGAAACTGTTTTTTGGCAGTCCATGGTACATTCAAAACTCTTCTCTAGCACCACAGCTCTAAGGCATCAATTCTCTTTCTATCCTCCTTAGTCATTGTCCAACTCTCTGATGCATAACAAGTAATAGCAAAGACCATGTCCTGTATCTGATGCACCTTAGTCTCCAGAGAGACACCATTGTTCTTCAGTACTTTGGAGAGCTTCCTAACAGCAGACTTTCCCATCACGATACTTTTTTTACTTCCTGGCTATGACAACGGTCCAGAGTAAGATGTACATTGCAAAGTTAACTGTGCAACAATGAAAGAATCTTTTTACCGAGAAAAATGTGCAACAATGAATAAATGGAAATCCAAGTTTTATGTAAACTTTCATTAAAGTATTTATAAAATGTTTATAAAATTAAAAAAAAACAACCCAAGAACATGTTAGGCCTAATTGTATCCAAACCAAACACAACCCACAAGCAAGTTGAACTTACTTATTTATGCTCTAAAACTAGCCTGTACAAAATGGGTTGGGGCTTTGGTCCTACCGAAATGGAAGAATCCCTGCAGAACAGAAGCTAGGAAAGACCAGGGATTAAGCCTAAAAAGCGAGCTCTGGTGGCCTTCTGGTAAAGAATTGTGTACTACCAAGTCAAAGGCACACAGTTCAAAACCACCAGATGCTTTTGTTGAAAAAAGATGGGCAATTTACAGTGTAAATTACAGCCTTTGAAAACTGGCTGAAGAGTCAAATATGAGTCAGTTCCGAATCACCAGTACATAATAACAAGTCTTAAAGGCAACAACAAAAGAGGATGGACGACAGACTATGTGGTTTAAACTGAAGTGGCTCCAATATACTCTATGCACCGTACTCACAGTTAGTTCCATTCTGCTCCATGGGTGATCTAATCAGTGGTGTAATGAGAATTGGCCCAGAGGAGAGTTTTAAAAATAGTAATCTATTTATAATATGTTTGTTTGGAAATAATATTTTAAAAGCTTAATTTATGTTTTATAATGAGTAATAATAGCACATTTAGAAGAAAAAGAAGATAGTTTACCAATATCAATCAAGAAAAATCATGAAATTGTTCCATAATTCATATTTATCTAGTTAAAAAATTCTAAGTTTATTCAAACTATTATATTATATATTTACTAGCTTGAATATTAACATTTAATAACTAAAACCAAGATGGTCTATAAAAGATTTTTGTATATTCTTGGCTGAAATTTCTCATTTGTAAAACTGATATTCCAATGCCACCTTACATTTGTATTTTCATATTCTGAAACCTCTTTTTCTACACTGATGTTTAACTTTGTACCATCTTTTACTACTATTCTTATTAGTTAAGGCATAAAGCATTAAAAAATATAACTATTAATTAATGTACCAATATTTATGTTCACATGACAAAACAAAAATTCTTTTGCAAAGATCAAAACAACTGTAATAATTATCATGTTAAAGAGCTTGTATTTTATTATTCTTCTATGTACCTTGTCAAATACTGATCTGTTAATTATGATCTTCCACACGTTATATTCGCTGAGTTTACTACTACAGTTTAAGTACAACAGGATATCTTTTGAAAGCCACTCTACAGTTATTATGCAAGGCTCATTAAATGCAGAAGTGATGAGATTCCATCTATATAGAAACTTAGCAAATAATGTTTGAAAATGAAAGATGATTGACTAGGATATAGACATATATGTATATATACATATACAAGCTTCATCTGACATACTTCGGTCATGTTGTATGGAGAAGGACATCATGCTTGGGAGGGTGGAGGGCAGGCACAGGAGGGGAAGGCCCTCTGGGAGGTGGATTGATTCGGTGACTGGGGCTATCGGGATGTGTGTGTCGGAGACAGTGCGATTGGCACAGGACAGAGCAGTGTTTAGAGCTGTTGTGCATAGGGTCACTATGAGTCGCAAGAGACTTGATGGCACATAACAACAACAACATACACACACACACATATGGTTGTTGTATACCATAGAATCAGAACCTACCCAGAGCTGACTCTAGTGGCTTTTTAGAGGTAGTTAATTTCACGGAAGGAGTTTCCCCATTTGCCCACCCTTCTCCCATGGAGTGACTGGTGGCCTCGAAACATGTGCCTTCAGGATGACAACACCACTAGGCCACCAGAGCATGCTCTCTCCTCTCCTCCCCTCCCTTCCCCTCCCTTTCTTTCCTCTCCTCTCCTTTCTTTTCCCCTCCCCT